ATCCAAGGGGTCTGCATGGGAAGATCCATCGGTCCCAGGCCCCCAAGTGGGGTGGATTCTCCCCAACAAAACTTTTAAGTTCCTTGCACCACTTTTCCTCGCCCTCCCCACCTGGAAGGACTAAAATCCCCTCTCTCTTCCCGCATTGTCCGGCAGGAGGACAATAGCGCTGCGCCGACCTCCTGCTGCAAGCGTCCCCCCCGCCTATTCGCCTCGCGTCCTCGCCCTCCCCCCTCCCCACATCGGGCTTTTTCAAACAAGCCACAGACCGAGAGAAACCGGTCGGAAGGTGGGGAGGGAGAAAGAGCCCCACTCGCCTTCCCACACAAACCTGCCCACCTTCTTCACCTGAGAGGAAAACAGAGCCCTCCTGTCCGGTTGGAAGGACTCCGGCAGAAGTTTGGGGAGCTACTTTCGCCCCGGTTTCTCCTTCCCCCTCCCCCGCTTTCTCCCCTCACCCGCGCCAGGGAGCAGCCGGAGCAGCTGTTTGGGGGGGGGGAGACTCGAGAGCCCTCCCTTCCCAAACATGGTTCCCACAAAAAGTCTCTCTTGCGAGCCTCTCCTCGGTTCCTCACCTGCGCCTCCCCCTCAGCGCCTCCCCGACGGAGAAGGAGGCGGCTCTGCAAAGGGGAGAGAAAGAAGCCGCCTCAGCTCCCACGCCCGCATGGTGACCGGCGCCGGCTCCTTCTCTCGCCTGCTCGGCGGCTGGCTCGCTTGCTCTCTCCCGCCCCTTCGGTCCTTTTCTCTCACACACACTAACTCCACCCGCCCGCCCGCCTGCCCTCTCCCAGAGCAGCGCTCCCTGGGCCTCACGCTGCCTCTCCAATCCCCCAGATTCCTCCGCCAAAGCAAAGGGCGGCCGCCGCCGCCGCCGCCACCAAACCGCCCTCCGGAACTAATTTCCCTGGCATGAAAAACTAAACCACACTTTTCAGCGGTTCCGCACAAGGCTCGCCCCACGACCTGGCTCCGGAGTGACTGGAGCCCCGCGGAGCAAACGCGCCACTATCTTTCTTTCCTTGGAGCTCCCTCTTGTCTTTTCGAAGGGAAGAGGAATGTTGGCCGGGTAGCTGCCGGGATCAAATGTGGAGGAAGATGGGGGGAAATGGAAGGACTGAAGAAGGGGAAATCAGACTCGCCCACATGGAGGCGACCCATTTTGGAATCAGCCCCCCCCCGATGAATTCATTGGGGGCAAAAGCCCCACCTAAGCTCCTCTCTCACACCGAAGGAGGAAGGACCCGGGGAAGCTGAGCTCCAACGCCAAGGGCTGCCAGGACACTGACCGGGGAGCGAGTCCCCTTTCAACTCCCCAAGCAGATGTGCTCAGGACTCGGTTATTAATTTGTAATAAAGAGGCTTAGGATTCCGTTCCGGGTCCTGACCAGACAGACAGCGTGTCTCTAAATTCACCGATTCCACCCTTTCCCTTGGATTAAATAAATAGTTTCCCTCGGCGGCTCGAGTGATGTGATTTTAGTGCGTGAGGTCGAGGGCAACGTGGAGCCATTAGACGCGAGGGAGAACAAGGGAGCCTTTTATTTTGAAGAAAACCCTCCAAGTTACTCCAAAGTTTGCCCGCTCCGCGCCCGCCCGGCTTTCCGCAGAGACTTCTCTCGCCTGCTCCGCTTTTCAGGCCGGAATCGCATTCTAGTTTGCAGATAATGCCGCGAAGGACCTTAAAAGGAAGCCTCTGCGAACCAAAGCCGACCTCCCCCGGGACTGTAACAACCCACCCAACCCCAATACTATAAAAACTCCCAGTTCTACACAAAACACACACACACACACTCCCCAGAGAGACGAGCCGCTTTGGCAAAAGCGAAGAAGCCTGGGCCCGCCTTTGCCGCTGCCCTGGGTCGGAAGCGACCCCTCTCAAATCGGCGTCAACCCCAGCCTCGCACGGCTCCGTTCCCACCGCGACCCCTCACATTCCCTAACCCGAAATTAAAGGCGGGAAGGAAGGCAAAAGCACCGACTCGGGAGCCCCCCCGCCGAGAGCTCCAAAGGCAGTCGGGAATTAAGAACTGTTCTATCTAACTTTGTAAACACGCACACACACACACACACGGAGCCCTCCTCCAGGACGTCAATGTGCAAAGACCTCAAGGAAAAGCAAAGCCTCCCCCGTCGGAGTGCCGCAGGCATAAAGACGTACCCTGGGCAGTGCCACGGGGGGGGGCTCCTCCTCACGAGTAACTGCCCATAAGACGAGTTCCAGGGATGCTTGGGTGCAGGCGAAAGGCCGTGGCCCGATGTGCTCGTTTACTCGAGAGTAAGTTACTCTAGCCTCCCTGAATGGGACTCACCTGCCCGTGCAGCGCGATCCTAAACACGGTCAAGTCGCAGCTTCTCACTCGCCGCTGTGGCAAGGGCGCCACAGCCAAGTTAAGCCGCAGTGCTTTCCCGATTCAAATCGATGGGAGTGCACATATGGGCGTACTACAAGTCCCATTCTTTTGAATATGACCGGTGGCGTCGTACTCTGCGAGTCACACGCAACGTGGATGAGTTTAAGCGCGCCGAACCTCGTGGGATCGGTTTGCGCGTTACCCTCTACAGAGCGCACTTCGGATTTGAGCAGCCGAGCAAATCAGGATTGCCCAGGCGCCTTTCTTCTCCCTCCCCTTCCAACTCCCGCTGGAAAGAAAGAAGGGCGAACTTTTTGGCGGAGTTTCAAAGCTCAGCTACTTACTCTCAGGAGTAGGCATTTCCAAGTAGTGGCGACCCCAATGAATGGCTGCCTTTTCTCTGAGAATCAGGATCCAAGTGGGACTCCCCAATAACATCAGAAGAGACTCTTTTTTTTTTTCCTGGGGAAGACACCGGGCAAATGGGAGGGCTTTCGAATTCCATTTGCGAACCAGTCTTGCTGACCCAACTGGATATTTCACAGAGACCAGAAGGATCGCTGTTCTCCCACCCAAGCTATAAATGCCGCGGTGGGGAATCCTTCGCTTCGACGGCTGGGTTTTCTGCCTGCACTTTTTTACGACTCTCGTATGATGATGGGTAAAGTGCGCTCTTTGGCAGTGGTGCTCCTGAAAGCCCACCTGTATAATGCGCATCGCGTGTAGGGGGGCGGATAATACATCCAACCCAGTTTCCAACCCGTTGTCAAATAAGAGGCGAAACCTCACGCCTCCAATTTCCAAAGCTCTCGCTCGGGGATAACATTTCTAGCAATGCCAGCCTGTGCGCGACTACTCAAGTGAGCGCCATTCTGTTCCATGGGGCTTAATCCCCACGAAATTCTGCACATGCAATGTTATACACACTGATAGATTTGGAAATAAACCGGATGGAACGCAATGGGACTTACTTCGGAGCAAGCAGGCACAGCGAATCCACGAGCCTACTCCAAAGTAGACGTGGCTGGTTCTCCAGATTCCTAATGCAACTCGACCTCCTCTCTTTCGCATTGGTTGCACCGGGATCCGCACAGAACCAAATACCTCGTGGTATTCTGGAAAGAATTGTTGGGATCGAGCCGATTTGCCCTCACTCGCCTCAAACGGACTAAAGGCATCATAGTGGCGGGGCGGGGTCGGGTCCCGATCCCTCCTCACCCGTTAACTCAGAAGTCACGCTCCTTCCGCGTCCAGGGGCTTACCGAATTGCGAGGGTTAAGCCCGGGCTTGTCAGCCTCTCTAGAGTGTGTTCAGAGGCAACCCCGTTTAAAAGCCCACAAGACAGGATTCCGGTTCCAACAGTGCAAGGATCGCAGCCGGATTCCTCACCCTAAGAGGCCAGTCGGATTGCAAAGGCTCTTGCACGCCAATCCGTTGGGAACCTGCCGCTCTGTGCCGGTGCGGATCAGCGCAGGATTACCGATTAAAATGTTACGTTCCCAGCTTCGCCTCCCCTCCCGCAAATCATGGTTTCATTTCGAAGCGGTTTCCAGCATGCAAGGCATGGGTGAGGGGCAGGACCTGAAAGGATTCGGCCCACGTGAATAATTGAGCGGGCTGAATCATCACGATCAGGCACGTCTTTCAGGAGTTCCGGTTGCCAGCCCTTGCCTCCCCCCCCAAAAAAAAACACATACGCAAACTTAATCGCTTTGAAAGAAGCCGCGTTCTTTCCGATCCAAAAGCAGAGGCGAAAAGAGACTAACAAGATCAAGCAGGCGATCGGAAACGAATTTTTCTTTGCCACCTTTCTTTACTTTTCGTTTCCCACCTCCCCGCCACATTTTTTTAAAAAAAAATGAAACGCATCTAAGCGCCTCCTGCAAGTGCTGAAGGCAGAGTTAACGTTGCATCTGAACGCTGCGATCAAAGGAGGCGAACTCGTTCCGCATTATAAACCGGATTTTCTCCCCATTCGCTCACGCACCCTGAACGCCTACCTCGACGGGTCTGGGGAGTTTGAAAAGATCGCTGAGCCGGGGAGCAGACCCACAAACCAGCCCATCTGAAAGCACTGAAAGGACAATGAAGTTACTGGGGAGAGGGGGGGCGGCGAGGGAGAGAGCCAGCCCTCGTGTTGCCTCGTGTCTCCGGACAATGCTGAACTTGACTGCCTTCTCACCGGGCCAAGCGACGGATTCTCACGTTCTACCCCGATTCGGCCGCTAAAGGGCGCTGCGCCACAATACATCCTCGTGGCTTGCGCCGGTTCTCCTCCTCGCTCCCCCCAAAGCACCATTTCTAAAACAAGTTGCACTCGGCAATAAATGCAAAACCCCAGTAGCGTATCTTTGCAACACGGCTCCTTAAATCGCGTTTCTTCCTCCCCTCCCCCCCCCCTCAGCGAGGATGCGGACTTCGATCCGGCCAGCCCGGTGTATCTCTCTCTTTCCCAAGGAGCGGGCAGCGCAGGGAGATGGGTTCTTTTATCTATTCGGAGAGAGGAAGGTCTCCACCGCAATCTTTTTCTAAGCCTACCTTGAAAGTCCAAACACTCCCTCTGTGCTTTTATGCTAATCAACCGGGCTCACCGTCGGAGCCAGTCCAAGGCAACGGAGAATAAAATACAAGAATGAATCATCAACTCACCAACCAGGCCAGCTGGGCGCAAGGTGGCTCGCTCGCTCTCCCCCCCGGCGAAACCCAATCCCCGTCACTTTCACTCCATGCCCGCCGACCGGAGTCCCCAAAAGGGGCATCCGGCATCAAAAGCCAACTTTGCCCCGCGTCGTCCAGCGCCCGGGCGAGCCAGCGCTTCTCTCCATCGCCAGATGGCCGCCGGCCCCTTTGAACCCATCCGGGGTGTTCCTTTCTTTCCTTTCAAACTTGCCGGAGGAAGGAGGGAAAAATCCAAGTTCGTCCAGACATGTCCAGGCAAAGAGTGCGCCTTGACTTGGGCGGCCGCCTTGGGGAGCGCAGGAGGCTGCGGCGGCTCACTGGCTCACTCC